TTCTATAATTTAGGGATTTTTTTAAACTTTTTTTTTTTAAGGACTCAAAGAATTTCTTGCATTTTCATGAGCTTCAACTGCACAAAAGTTTACTGTAACTGTCATGAAAACTTCTGATTATAACAAAACAAAGTTAAAGCCAGGCATCTGATAAGCTGTTTTGCAAGATCTCCCTTCAAGGCCCAACTGAAAAATTATTTGTGTAATTATTAAGTAAGAAACCTGCAATACCAGCGGACTAGAAATTAAGCGAGTGATATGATGGTGGTGATACATTTTGTTTTCTTTACAAAATCACATCTAAGGTTGCATTGCTAAGCATTTATGCATATTAGGGAAAACAATAGTTAAATTGTTTTCTTTCCATAAGTAAGACATCTTTAAGACATTTTAAAATCAGTTTCAAGTTCAGTGCAAGTTTTCATTCCTTCCTAGGACAGCACAATGTTATGCCCATTTCACAACTAATAGAAAATGGTCACAGCTACAAACTAAGTACCCAGAAAATTTCTTCCTCCCAATAGGAACATACAATTTTCCTTGCTCGTTTTCACCTATTTTCACATTTATATAATATTACATTGTAGCATTACATATACATTATTTCTTTTCCACTAAGATTACCTGAATTGTTATTAGGTTTAATGTTCATGGAAGTGAACAGTCAGGCATAATACATCATTCTCATGGTATGGAAGATCAGTGTGATACCAGCACCTGCACTGCTCTGCCCATACATTTACTTTCTACATTTTTGCTTCAACACTGCAAGAGGAAAAAAGCAGAGTGCCAAACTATGAAATGGATTTGTGTTACAGACAGATGGTCACTAGCATGAGACTGATGTCATACTTTCCACTTACAGAGTAGGATGCTAATTCAAATTCTCCAGAAATCAAACACTACCACACCATAACAACTGCTATGGCAGGGAATGACGTGGAGTAAACATTACTCTCATTACTATGGGACTGCGCCCTTCACTGGACATTGACCACTCAGTAATAAGCATCATAGGTATAAAAGTAATCTTACATTCAATGCTGAACAGGAACAACTGGTATGCCCCTGACTTTCAGAAATACTAGAACTCCCATCAGCCTCAAATGCTTATTCACCTGCTACAGTTAATAAATACTACAAATACTTCTACAACTTTCAGACATTTACTTACATATTTACAAACACATTTTTAATAAGTTTGTTGCACCGTATTTAGCACTAACCTACACTACCAAGACTGCAAGCTTGTTATACAAAATGATCTACTTGGGTTCTGAAGGAGGTTACCTCCAAGCTTCCTAATTCAAAATAGAGTTGTTAACATTAGTCTTGTCTACATATATATCATCATTTATTATTGCTAACTGTGGTTCACACATAATGCGTTACCAGTTCAAGAAGCTTTTGTGTTTTGGTCAGCCCTGACTAGGTACGACCGCTGTTTTTAACATTGCGTGATTGAGATCTGCTCAGAGCAAAACAAAACAACTTGCTACTAAAAGACAGCAGCAATCCCTTCAGGTGAGGGCTCAAAGCTTTTAATGCCGGTTCCAGTGAATGAGTGATGGTAGCAAACAAGATATAACAGTAAAGGAGTCAGGAAAAAAACCCACAGCAAAGAAAAGGCCTAGTATCAGCTAAAAGAACACTGCTGAAAACTATCTGCTATAGCACATAATTAAAAATTTAAAATTTACCAAACTCATAAGAGAGTCAAAAATTTCTGAATATCCCTTCCTCCTCTTTTTCTTTTGAAATTACACCTTGTTAAATTAGCACATGTTCAGGTGCTTCCCCTTCTGAAGACAGGTAACTCTGCAGAAACTGAAAGATGATAAGCATAACTCGTTTTTATAAGTCGCTGCACTACAACAGCAGTGGCAAAGTCTTGACAGCAGAGATCAACTACCAATCATCTACAACTGCTCTAGTTGCTCCGCAGCATCTCACCAAAATATTTTTTGTGCTGGAAGAGGAGGTCTGTGAGTGACAGCACACTACATCATCTGTAAACAATACTACAGCCACGCTAGGGCTATCACTCAATAGACTCCAAAAGTTGAAACAGCATTTACTCCTGAGCAACCAAGTCATGCAAAGAGAAAGGACTTTGAAACCGAAGTGGAAGGAGATAAAGGGCATACTATTTAAAGCTTAGGTGGTCTCTTCCCATCAAAAGGGAGGAGTCCTTTAGGAACCTACAGAAATAAATCTCAACATCTCTGCTCTACCAGCCTCTCAGAGAGCGAGAAGAGTTGGATAGCCAGCATCTTCAGTCAGAGCTTCAGCCTCTCCCCCAGCTTCTCAAGCCCAGCCTCCGGGTGAGAAGGGGCCTGTTCCCAGATCACCGGCGCGGCACAAGAGCACACCGCCTCCGGTCCTAACGCTCAGGTGTGGGAGGCGCAGGGAGCGCGCCGCGCCGGCCCAGGGCGCTTCGGCCAACCAGGTTCCCGCCACACCGCTGCGCTCCCCGTTTCCCTTCAGGGGAGGGCAGCCATTTCCCCCGCTGCTCCTCGTAACCCCCCCCAAACTTTCCCCACCTGTTGCCCTGAGCCAGGGCAGCACCTGCCCTGCCAGAGCGGCTCCCAGGGGAGAGGCGTGGGGAGGGGGGCGACACCCCGAGCAGGGGCCGAGCGGCGGGGGGGGCC